TCATATTATGATATCCAAGGGTGAAGTCATCTTTATTCCCATCACTGCACCACTAGAAGCTCCTTGCGGGGCAGATAACTTTATTTACGGTTGGCATAATGCTATCATTTGAAGATAAACTAATCAAGGCCATCCTATGCCATTTCTAATTCTATCTGCTCTAATGTAACTTATTTGGTTAAATTATTTTATTTGCTCGATTTTAGGGGTAGTGTATCTGTTATTCCCCTTCAGAAAACAAACTATCAGAGACTATTCGCAGGTTTCCCTGTGACTCTGATATAACAAAAACAACATTAAACAAATCTTTGATGCACACAGCTTTCCTTTATTCCCATTTTCTTGGCTCCGCCTCTGTGTCTGGAACCAGAGGGCAGAGGAACACCTGGAAAGCTCCTAGGTCCTGCCTGGCACATGCTGGTGCGCTCAGCAAGGGCCACTTCTCTCGCCCCAGGAAACCAGGCAAGTCAGGCAGAATGAGCCCCGCCCTGGAAGCATAAGAAACAAACCAAGGTCAAATGACCAGGAGTGAACAGAGAAGTCCAGACACGGGGACTCCAGGCAAAACGTTGTTCCACTGGCTTCAGCACAAGAAAGGAAAGGCAAATTCTCATGAAAAAATTATTGCGTAAACATTCCCCTGAAATTATTTAACTTTTTTTATTTTTTGTTTTTTTGAGATGGAGTCTCACTCTGTTGGCCAGGCTGGAGTGCAGTGGTGCAATCTCGGCTCACTGCAATGTCCGCCTCCTGGGTTCATGCGATTCTCCTGCCTCAGCCTCCCAAGTAGCTGGGATTACAGGCTCCTGCCACCACGCCCAGCTAATTTTTGTATTTTCAGTGGAGACAGGGTTTCACCATGTTGGCCAGGCTGGTCTCAAACTCCTGACCTCAGGTGACCTGCCCACCTCATCCTCCCAAAGTGCTGGGATTACAGGTGTGAGCCACCACACCCGGCCTCTTTAACCTTTTTAACAAAACAGTATGTTTATAATATTCTAGATTTTAACCTAAATATCTGAAATTGTCCGAAGTTAAGAAAGATTCTACAGCCAGGTGACACAGGAACAGATAAGAGCAAGAGAGCTGACGTTCACTGCACGCTGACAATGTGCTGGGAGGCACATAAGTTAACCCACCTCACCTCACAGCAGCCTCATGGCAACTAGGACTACAGTTTTACAGACGAGGATCCTGAGATACAGAGAGGCTGAGCAACCTGCCCAAAGTCCCACAGCTAAATGGGGCAAGGCCAGGGTCCCAACACTGACAATCACTCCCCGCAGTGCTCTGCAGCCTCCCACAGCTTCTGTCAGCTGCTTCGAGGAGAAGTCAGTCAGTCCTCGTTCTGAAGTGTCACTGCCCTTCAGGAAACCAACAACTCAGAACATCACTGAACATCCCCACTACCAGAGGAACCCAAAGAACAGCACTCCCTCAGAAGCACCATTATGAAAAGTCACTGGTCACAACACCCCCGGCTGTCTCCAAAAATCGTCCCCAAATTTTACTCTTGCTAGTGAATAAAGTTCAAAGCCAGTACTAACAAATAAAATGCCCAAGGTCCCCAGCAAGCAGAAGTTTCTTCACTCCAGAATGGCAGGGAAGTGACAGGGCACCATGGAGAGGCCGCCTCCGCCCAGCAGAGCAAACAGAATAGCGTGTGTGATTACCTGGCAGGGCTGCTCCCAGAACAAAGCCCTATTTGCCTTGGCTTGCTCAAGGCTTTTATCAGATTCCATTCCCTTTTCTGTTTTCAATTCAACATAATTCTTACTGAGTTCAAAATTAAGTCAATTAAGTTCAAAATTTAAAAAAAGAAAAAGGCCAATCAAGTATCTCTTGCATAGCACACAACCATCTTGCCACATAAAAACCTGCGAACTTCCACCAAGCCCGTTGGTCACCTAAGGAAGGTTATTCTCCCCGCTAACCTTCTGCTTAATCAACAGTTAATTTCTTGAGTACTTACTACAGTCAAAATAGATGTTGGGTTCATTCAATCTCTCTCATTGCTAATATCTCAGCTTGCTGAAATCTGGGGAGGTCCAAACTGGTTTCCCAAAAAAGAAAACTCATGCTGAAAAATCAGAGCCAGAAATTTGAAAATCACATAACTATGCTGAGATTTAACCTTAGGCTAAAGAAGCTGCTTCCCAAATGCTACCAAAAGCTAAAGCTTACTTGATCAAATAAAACACACTTATTGACTTTTTTTTTTTTTTTAGTGCAGTGATTCAATCATAGCTCACTGCAGCCTCAAACTTCTGGGTTCAAGCAATCCTCCCACCTCAGCCTCCCAAGTAGCTGGGACTACAGGCACGTGCCACCATGCCTAGCTAATCTCTTTTCTTTTCTTTCTTTCTTTTATTTTCTTTCTCTCTCTCTCCTTCCCTCCGTTCCTCCCTCCCTCCTTTCTTTCTCTTTCTTTTCTCTGTCTCTCCTTCTCTCCCTCCTTTCTTTCTTTCTCTCTCTTTCTCTCTCTCTTTCTTTTTTTGTAGAGACAAGGTCTCACTATGTTGACCAGGCTGATCTTAAACTTCTGGCCTCAGGTGATCCTCCTCCCTCAGCCTCTGAAAGTGCTGGGATTACAGGCATGAGCCATCACACCCAGCCTTATTGAGCACTTTCTCTAAGTAAGAGTGTGGTGAAATGACATGCTTTTTCTTTGTTTGCAGCTGCCTGGGAAAATGAAGTGAGCCAGCACTAAACTAGGTGTCATGTGAGTTGTGTTCTAAAACTAGTTTTAGGCCTAACTTTCTGTGTGTGCCTGGGCTCTCCCTTTGTAGACCTCAAGTTTCTTCTCAAAATCCACATCCTATGATCACCATTTCCCCAAAATCAAAGAAAAGGATTTCTTTTAAATCCTACAACTATACAAGTCTCCTTCATGGTCCTGCTGAAGAACCCAGCACTGAATGGGGCGTTGTGAGTGAACATAACAGAAGTGTATTCAGATCTACCAATTCCTACATCACTACAGACATATGTAACAGATGAGCCTCCTTTCTCCCAGCCAGGAGAAGACGGCTCCAAAGTGACAGGGCTGGACAACAGTGGAGAGTAAGCAGCAAGATAGGGCCCTAAGTGGCCAGGACTGTGTAGTCAGCGGGAACAGCTCAGTTGGGATAAGCAGACTTCTCCACTGCCAAACATGGGCCATCAAGGAGGCAGACAGTGGAAATAATGGGGGGTTTTTAAGCAGCCTAGATGATCATTCCTTTAAAGCTCATATCATAAATTCTGAATAACAACAACAACAAATTCTCTTCTCATAGCAACCTTCTGATAGAACATAATTTTGGCAAGACAGACATGTATCTTCCTGAATTCCCAGATATCTTAAACCATGGCTTATAATCCATTCTGGTTGAGGCCAGGTCAAATGTTATTCCCATCACTCTTTCCACCTCTCCTGCTGTGATTCTCACTCTCATCTCCCTGCCTCCTAAAAAGGCAATTCTGATGCACATCATATGCACCAACACATGACAACACGATTTATGAAAAATAGTTACTTCCTGTCTGTTCATTTATAAAGTAACAAAAGCTAGGGAGACTCTGGCAGTCTCTCTCTATTCTAATCCTTATAAAAACAAGGAGCCCAGAAAATTGCTGGAAAACAAGACCTCCAATCATTGTCAAAGTCTCACAGGATTTCTAATCACTTCCAACACTCTCGTAGGGTACATCTCTGGGTCTGAAGGGGTCAATAGCAGTGTCCTTGGTGAGAACGCCAGGAAACACTGCCAGCAACAGCAACTGCTAGGAGCTATTGTTATTAATAAAAATAAGTGACATTTACCAAGAATCCAATATGTTCCCGAATCTGGGCTAAGTGCCTTTATTCACAAGACCTTATATAATCCTCACAAAAACTTCATGAAGTAGGAACTATGATTATGTTCTTTTTATGGATGGAAAAACCGAGGCTAAGAGGTGAAGAAACTTAGTAAAGAGCAGAACCCAAAGATGAGAATCTGAAACAGGCATGTTGCCTCCATCACCCTGGCCCCATCCAGCTTCCAGCCTCCAACCTCCTCTGTCTGAGGCTGCGAGCTCAGAGCCCCGAGCTCACTCGTTCTCTGCTCAGAGGCCCTCTTGTCAGCTGCTCTTTTCCATCACCCATACCACAGGTGAAGTGCTGACGGCTGAGAGCAGACCATCCCTGATGGTCTTCAGGGATACTTGACATACTCAGCTCAGTCCACTTTGGTCCACATCCCCAGCAGACCTTAGCCACATCTGTCAAGGTAAAGCCTCCCAAACCCCAGACGAACAGATCTTGGCATAGTTCATACAAGTACAAATGAAGCTCAACCCATTTTATTAGGAAAACAGGGGTGGCTGGCCAGCTTCAGGATGCTGAAGGTATGAACAGATGCACACTGTCATTTCTGCTCAGAGGATGCTAAAATGCTTCGCAAACACTGAACCATTTAGTTTTCTTTCTTTCTTTCTCTCTCTCCCTCCCTCCCTCCCTCTCTCTCTCTCTCTCTCTCTCTCTCTCTCTCTCTCTCTTCCTTTCTTTTTGTAAGATTGAGTTTAGCTCTTTTGCCCAGGCTAGAGTGAAGTGGTGCAATCTTGGCTCACTGCAACCTCCAACTCCTTGGTTCAAGCAATTCTCCTGCCTCAGCCTCCTAAGTAGCTGAGATTATAGATGCCCGCCACCACACCTAGCTAATTTTTGTATTTTAAGTAGAGACAGGGTTTCACCATGTTGGCCAGGCTGGTCTTGAACTCCTGACCTCAGATGACCCACCCGCCTCAGCCTCCCAAAGTGCTAGGATTACAGGCGTAAGCCACCACGCCGGCCCAACCATCTATTTTTCATAAGGTACAGCAATCACTACCATCCTCTCCTTGGCTTTAAGGAGTACAAGTGAAGCTTTGCACAGAGAGACAGACAAGTTGAAAGCTTCCTAGAGATTAATCACAGCTGTCCCCTATCTGATTCGGGGGAAAAAGTTATCAGGAACAAACACATGGTCCTCACTTACCCTTTCTATCTCTTGGAGGTACAGGAGTGCGATGTCCCCTGCTTTCTCATAACAGGTGATGACATCCTGTTCCCGGTCCACATGGAGATTACTGGTAGAAGAAGAAATAGGCAGCTTCTCCAAACAAAGTCCTTAAAAAAAATCAGACACAAAAACTGAGTGAGTTTTTTTTCATAAGACTTCATTTTTAAATATTGCTCTAGAGGGCCAGAAGATGGTTGTAGAATATCATGTTGTTTGCAAATAGACAGTTTACGTCCTCCTTTTCAATCTGGATGCTTTTTATTTCTATTGATTGCCTTATTGCACTGGCAGGAATCTCCAGTACTATGTTGAATAGAAGTGGCGACAGCAACTGCCAGCCGTGGTGGCGCACACCTGCGATCCCAGCTACTTGGGAGGCTGAGGTGGGAGGATCGCTTGAGCCCAGTAGTTCCAGACTGCAGTGAGCCATGACCACACCACTGTACTCCAGCCTGGGCAACAGATGGAGACCCTGTCTTTCATTAAAAAAAAGAAGAAGAAGAAAGAAAAAGTGGTGAGAATAAATATCCCTATCTTATTCCTGATCTTAGGGAGAAAACATTCAGTCAGAAAGCATTAAGTTTGAGATTATAAGTTTGTCTTAGACACCCTTTACCAGGTTGAGGAAGGTGCCTTCTACACCAATTTTGCTGAGAGTTTCTATCAAGAATCAATGTTGGATTTGCTCAAATCCTTTCTCCATGTTCATTGAGATAATCATATAGCTTTTTCACTTTTAGTTTTTAAAGGTGGTAAGTTACATTGACTGATCATCGAATGTTAAACCAACCTTCCTTTCGCAGCGAAAACACCGCTTGGCCAGATGAATTATCCTTTTTTATATTTTTGTATTTGATTTGTTAAAATTTGCCTTCAGTTTTTTTTTTTTTTTTTTTTTTGGAGATGTAGTCTCACTCTGTCACCCAGGCTGGAGTGCAGCAGCGCAACCTCAGCTCACTGCAACCTCCACCTCCTGAGTTCAAGCGATTCTCCTGTCTCAGCCTCCCAAGTAGCTGGGACTACAGGTGCATTCCACTATGCCTGGCTAATTTTTTTTTTTTTTTTAATTTTTAGTAGAGATGGGGTTTCACCATGTTGGCCAGTCTGGTGTCGAACTCCTGACCTCAGGTGATCTGCCCGATTCAGCCTCCCAAAGTGCTGGGATTACAGGTGTGAGCTACCGTGCCTGGCCTCAAATTTTGTCATTTATGTTTCTGAGGACTATTTGCCTAAAGTTTCCTTGAAATGCCTCCGTACCTGGTTTTGATATCAGGTAAATACTAACCTCACAAAATGACTTGAGAAATATTCCCTCTCCTTTGATTTTCTGAGAGTGTTTGTGTAGAATTGATATTATTTTGTATTTAAATATTTGATAGAATTCACCAGTAAAGCCATCTGGACCTGGAGTTTTCTTTATGGGCAGCTTTTCAATTACAAATTCTATTTCTTTGATATAGGGTCATTCAGATTATCTCTTTCTTCTTGAGTGAGCTTTAGTAGTTTATATCTTCCAAATAGTTTGTCCATTTCTTTTGAGTTGTCAAATTTATTGGTAGAGAGCTGTCCATAATATTCCATAATCCTTTAGTACCTGTAGAATCTCTAGTAGATGGCACCTCCCTCATTCCTGATATTGGCAATTTCTATCTTTTCTTCCTAATATCAGAGGTTTGCCAATTTTACTGAAATTCTCAGTAAAGATTTCTTGATTTCATTGACTTTGGTTTCATTGATTTTTCTCTATCCTTCTGTTTTCGATTTCATTTATTTCTACTCTGATCTTTATTATGTCCTTTCTCCTGAATACATGGGGCTTTATTTGCACTTCCTATTCTAGTTTCTTGAGGTGGAAATTATTAATTTTGGACCTTTTTTCTTTCCTAATATAGGTATCTAGTGTCCGCAATTTCTCTGTAAGGACTGCTTTAGCAGCATCCTACAAATTTTGATATTCAGTTCACAATATTTTCTAATTTAACTTTTGCTTTCTTCTTTAGAAGTGTGTTATTTAGTTTCCAAATATTTGGGAGTTTTCCAAGATCTTTCTTTTACTGATTTCCAAGTTAATTCCATCATGATCTGTGCAGTAAAGGGCTGACTTAGAGCTTTGGGATGTTTAAACCCTGTACATTCCAAAGGGAGGACTGGCCCTTACCAGTTCCTGGGAGAAAAACTCTAAGCCCTCGGAGTATCCTACCTGACAAGTGTCTTTGTTTATTTGGGGCCTTAAGCCATACCAGATAGTTTATGCTAACAATGTCATTTAAGGCAGAGGACTACGGCCATGCTGTATCAGTCTGATCTCTGGAGGGGCTGGAGACCGACTAAGGTCAGTAACATGGGTGCTCCATGCCTATATGACTGACCCCTAATAAAATCCCTGGGCACCAAGGCAGCTCAGGTGATCTTCCTTGACTGGCAATATTTCAAAAGTGCTGTCACACTTCACTGCAGGGAGAATTAAGCACTGTCCATAGGACTCCACTGGGAGAAGAAAACCGGAAGCTTGAGCCTGGTCTCTCCTGAATTCTGCCCTATGTGCCTTTTTGCTTTTACTGATTTTAATCTGTATCCATTTGCTGTAATAAACTGTAACCATGAGTATAACAGCTTTTCTAAGCTATGAGAGTCTTTCCAATACATCAATGCCTGATGGTAGTCTTGAGGACCTCTGACACAGTCCAGAGAACATACTCGAAGTCTCCTAATTTTGTTAAAACTTGTTTCTGACCCTGCATATGGTCAATCTTGGTAAATGTTACATTTGAAAAGAATGTGACTCTGTTGTTGTTGGGTGGAATGTCATATAAATGTCGATTAGGTCAAGTTGGTATATTGTGTTGTCCCAAGGCATCTATATCCTTACCAATCATCTGTCCACTTGCTTTATCATTTATTGAAACACGGATATTGCAATCCCCAAGCATAACTGTGCATTTGCCTATTTCTCCTTGAAGTTCTATCAGTTTTTGTTTCATGTATTTTAGAGCTCTGTTATTAAGATCATAAACCTTTGGAATTGTTATATTATTTTGATGGACTGACATCTTTGCTCTAAAACCTGCTTTGTCTGATATTAATATAGATACTATAGCCTTCATTTGATTAGTGTTAGCATGGTAAATTTTTTCATCCCTTTACTTTTAATCTATTGTGTCTTGGTATTTAAAGTGTATTTCTTGTAGCCAACAGAGTTGAGTTTTGTTTATTTTCCAATCTGACAATCTCTACCTTTTAAATAGGGTATTTAAATCATTTATATTTAATGTAATTTTTTCAACAGATAGATTTAAATCGACCACTTTGCTATTTGTTTTTCATTTGTCCCATCTTCTATTTTTCCTTTTTCTCCTTTTATCTGTCATCTATTTGAGAATTTTTACATTTTATTTTATTTATTGGCTTTTCACTAAAATTGTTATTTTCTATGTCAGTGATTGCTTCAGGGTTTAATTTGGCATAGTCTACTTTGTTTTGTTTTGTTTGGGATGGAGTTTCAACTCTGTCGCCCAGGCTGGAGTACAGTGGCGCGATCTTGGCTCACTGCAACCTCCACCTCCTGGGTTCAAGCGATTCTCGTGACTCAGCTTCCCAGTAGCTGGGACTACAGGTGCGCAAAATCACACCCAGCTAATGTTTTTTCTTTTTTTAGCAGAGACGGGGTTTTACAATGTTGGCCAGTCTGGTCTCGAACTCCTGACCTCAAGTAATCCACCTGTTTCGGCTTCCCAAAGTGCTGGGATTACAGGCTTGAGCCACCATGCCCAGCCCCTACTTTAAATGATATTATACTACTTCACATATAGTATAAGACCTTTACAATTGCATACTTCCATTTCTCCCCTCCCAGCCTTTACTATCTTATGTACATTTTATTTTTACAGAGGTTAAAAAGCTTACCTTATGTGGTTATTATTTTTGTTTAGTCAATTTATTTAAACATTTAGATCATAAGGAAAAATTCTTGTATATTCACCAAATTATAATTTCCAGCTGTCTTTGTTCTTTTGTGTAAATTCATATTTCTTCCTGGTATTAACATTTCTTGTGGGGTAGTTCTGCTCCCGCTGATTTCTTTCAGCTACTCTCTGCCTTGAAAATGCTTACTTTAGCTCTAATTTTAGAGAGAGATTTCACAGAGTATGGAATTCAGGGTTAAGTTTGCTTTTTTCCCCTCCATTACTCTCAAAGGTGCTGCTCCACTGTATTCTCACTTGCATGGTTTCTGACAATAATTCTGCTATCACCCTTATGCTTGTTCATTTGTATATAATATGTCTTTTTTTCTGGCTGCTTTTAAGATTTTATATTTATCACTGGTTATGAGCAATTTAGATTATGAAGTGCTTGGGCTTTGTCGAGCTTCCTGGAACTGATGGTTTATAGTTTCCATAAAATTTGAAAAACATCCAGCCATTTTTTTCTTCAAAAATGTTTATGTCACCCTCTTCCTTCCTTACGGGACTTTACATACATATTAGGCCATGTGAAGTTGTCCTACAGATCATTTATGGTGTTTCCACTTAAAAAATAATAATTTTTTTTTTTTTTTTTTGGTGAGATGGAGTTTCACTCTTGTTGCCCAGGCTGGAGTGCAATGGGTTCAAGTGATTCTCCTGCTTCAACCTCCCGAGTAGCTGGGATTACAGGCATGCACCACCACGCCTGGCTAATTTTGTATTTTTAGTAGAGACGGAGTTTCTCCATGTTCGTCAGGCTGGTCTCAAACTCCTGACCTCAGGCAATCCACCTGCCTCAGCCTCCCAAAGTACTGGGATTACGGCGTAAGCCACCGTGCCCGGCCAATAATAATAATTTTTCTTTCTTTCATTTTGGATAATTTCTATTGCTATGTCTTCAAGTTCACTAATCTTTTCCTTTGTAATGTCTAATCTGCCATTAATCACATCCAGTGTACTTTTCATATCAAACATGTTAGTTTTCATCTCTAGAAATTTGATGTAGGTCTATTTTTATCATCCACATCTCTACTGAACTTTCTGAAATAAGGAATATGGTTCTAATAACTTTCAATGGCCCTCCAGCCTAGGTGCTCAATGTTCATTCTCTTTCCAGTTAGCACCAATGTTGTTTATGCAATTGA